ACTTTGTATCACATTTGCAGGGCTGCGTAAGAGAGATCTATTTATTCATTTTGGAAGAAGCATACGAAACCTGTTCATTCAGAGGACAATCACTTATTTTCAAGTTTTGTTTTTTTTTTTAATGGAGGTTCTAGGGCCATCTACAACTTGGTATTTTTACCAATATCTATCCCCACTGCACTGTCAGGAATTTGATTTTAATTGCTAATTTTAGTATTTTGTGGTACATTTAACTTATTTTTCTTTTATTCATTCACCCAGCAAACATTTGCAGAGCACCTCTACTTCATCACATCGTTGTACATCCAATGCTTTGAACATAGTTAATAGCTTTATAAATATTAAACTAAAGACATAAAAATACACTAATCTCTAAATCTATTCAAGCTTAGAATACTTAAAGAGTAATCCCAAAACAATTAAATCAAGAAAACTTTTCTCAGAAGAAAAAAAAAAAAGCAGGATGTTATATTTCGGTGGATTTTTAAAAAGATGCCACCTAAGTCCTACTTTCTTTATCATATTAACATAAAGAACAAATCAAATTTGTAGAGAAGTGTAAATAGGTAAAAATAAATTTATCCTTTAAGTTCGGCCAATCAATCTTAGTAGGTATTTTTATATTTACTTTCAGTTTTCTTGAGCCTTAGTTTTCCTCATCTATGAAAAGAGAGTTCACTCGTGAATTTATTAACAAACATATACTGAACGCCTACCATGTGCCAGGCACTGGTTTAGGCTTTGGGAACACAGTGGTAAACAAAACAGACACAATTCCTGTCTGTATGGTGCTAATAATATTCTCATGAAGATAATAATACTAATATGGGATTGCTCGGAAGATTAGCTATTAACGTAATTAAGCATTCTGTGAGTTGCAAAGTGCTTTGTAAACCCAAGGCTCCTCAATCTGAGAACTGCTTTATTCTTCGTTCTATCTCCACAACTCGGTAGGTTTCAGTAAGTGGTGATCTGAGTAGATACAAGGGCATCAACACTATCACATTTGGCCACTAGAGGTCCTCCACAGTCATACCCAACATTAATCCATTCTATTTATTATATTCATTCATTCCAGTATAATTTACCAAAAGTAATTTAAGAAAGTTGGTCATATTAAATAAAATGTATTACATGAAACCCTAAGGGACTCTCCACAAGAGATTAATTATATTAACCTAGATATCACATCCCATGCAATAAGAATTATGCTATCCCTGGCTGAACACCAAAAATTAAGAAAATACTCTATATTAATGTTTTATCACAGCAGTCTCGCAAAACAAACCACTTCACCACCATACATACTTCTTTTAAGATAAATCAATGTAGGGATGCCTGGGTGGCTCAGTCAGTTAAGCATCTGCCTTTGGCTTAGGTCATGATCCCAGGGTCCCGGGATGGAATTCCGAATCCGGCTCCCTGCTTGCTCGGCAAGGAGCCTGCTTCTCCCTCTGCTGCTCCCTCTGCTTGTGCTCTCTCTCTGACAAATAAATAAATAGAATCTTAAAAAAAAAAGATTAAATCAATGTCTACATCATTTTTAATGGCTATATTATATTCTATTTTATAGTTATACCAATATTACTATGTGCCAAAGTTAACTTATCACTAAATTTTTGCATGTATTATTTCTTCAAGATCAAGTCTTGTGTTTTCCTATAAGAACAAAACAGTACCTTTATAGGAAAACAGCTTAAATTTAATAAAATATTTGTCTTTGTGTTTTCATATTTACTGGCAATTGTTTAATGTTTTCCTAATATTCCCCCAAATTTCATAAACTCATGAATTTAAGGTCAAAACTTTATACACAAATTTTCCCCACAAATATTTAGGAAAATATAATAAGAATTTGGCCTAGGTGGTGTTTTCCTGTTTTCTTTTTTAAAACATCACAGGAAATACATATTGAATACATACGGAACTGCTTTTTATAATTGCTCTGATCATGAATATACAAAAACATGAGTATTTCAAGACTCTTCTCACTGAGTGTGAAATCAAGAGAGAATTGCAGGAACTGGAAATTCCTACTGTCAGGAGACTTCCATGAACACAAGACTGGTGTAGGCTATAGAACTGTGCTTTAATAACTGATAAATTATTTCCATTATCTTGGTGATTATTAAATATGAGCCTTACTGAGACAAACTTCTAACAGATACAGCAACTTAGGGAACAAATACTGCTATTTAATGGCAGAATCTTACAATCTCCTGGGAGCAGTGATGTGAATTCCACAAGTATGAAAAGGGCAGTTTAAGTAGCAAAATCAAAACTATTCTCAAATTATGAGTTCTTAATATATGCAATTTCTCACATGAACTGAGTGATCAGAATGCATTCACAACACACAAAAAAAGCACACTGAGAATTTGATGCATATGTTTAAGTTTTAATACTTGAGAAAATAGAAGTTAAAATTTGATACATACACTGCTGCACAAGAAAAGAATATATACAAATTTGGATTCCAATGGAGTCAGTATGTGGACCTGGATGTACAAATGTAACAAAACAACCTGTTATTGAAGGCTTTTAAAGAAGTAACAGATTTTTAAATCAGGTAGAGATTAACAGATTGCAGAAGGAACAGTAATTGTTTCTCAAAAAATTTCCCTTATCCATTAAAAATTGTAAACTCCGTGTGGCGAGGAAAGTTAGAGGTCACCTAATTCATCAAGATATTTTGAAGACGTAAGACATAAATGCCCACTGTAAGCCCAAACAATCTAAAAATAACCAGCATTTCATTTTCCTCTGAAGATCAGTTTGATATACCAGTCATGTTCACAAATTTTAGCAAAGAAAAATAAAAACTCATTCCATTCTTTTTTTGAAATACATGTTATTTTTTTCCACCAGGTGCTTTAGTAATTTAAGCTTAATTCATTTTGTTAAATATGAAACATGAAAAATCTTTTAAAACCTTGCACTCTTAGAAGAAATGAAAATGTCTTTCCAGCTTCAACAATGTATTTTAAAAACTGTGAAAATGATTAGAAACACTAGCTCTTTAAGAGCATTTCAAAATATATTTGAAGAAAGTATCTTTCGGCTGTTGTTTATTTTTGAAAATCTTTATCTTGAAAGGGTAAGCTTCAAGCGTATCTTGAAAGGGATCATTCAACATCAATACAATTGGAGAAATTCCCTACTGATGAAGAATAGGGTCATTTACAAATTAACTTCCAATTTTCCAAAACATTCTTGGAATTTGTGCCAGATGCCTATGGGATACTTTTATTCCTGATTACTCTATATAAAAGTTACTGTTTAATATTGTAAAATCTACTTTATTTCCATAGGTTGGTTAGAATATCATTGTTTTTTAAGTTCTAGAAGTTACCAATACCGAAGTACTGTTTGATTTTATGTGGGAATAAACTCCTTCTTGAAAGTTAAATTCTTCTCTTTGAAAGATGCATTAAATATTTCTGATCACTAAAAATGTAAAGCTTCTAGCACTTCTTGAACACTGATTTCACTTTCCAAAAATGTAAATATTCTCTCAATGCCCAGAGCAACAGAACTAAACCAAATATTTAGAGACTGTCTCTTTTAAGAAGTATCCATTATTCCAAAAACAAGCCTGCATATATCTCTGATTTTAACTGTATTCCTCAGACAAAAGATCACTTCGTTTTATACAAAGTTTTCTTGCTTTATAATCCAAAGAATGTTAGTAGTCAGCTTAAGATGCTTATCTTATAATTGCACATTTGTGTAAACCATTATTTTTCTTTAGAAAACACATTGTAGCCTAAAATAGGGAAACACAAACCTCAATATTGAATATAATAACCTATGATAACTGATAATACTATAAAGTTATTAAACACACCCTTAAAACTTCTGAAAGTACATTAATAATTTTTTAAATAGCCACAATCCCTTAAAAAACAAATTATTTACAAATATCTTAGAGCAAAGGAACCTATGCAGTCATTACATGATGTTGATATGTTCCTTGGAGAATCTGCCTAGAGAGCAGAAAATGCTGCATATATCCTGTCCACTTGCCATTGAAAAACTGAAAGCAGCATGACTTTATTAAAGAAAATTAATGTAATTGGAAGGACCTAATTAAAACTGGCATTGTGCTATCTAAAGAAAAATAACAATCACGTGATAGAATTTTTATATAGCACCAACATAAGATTCTTTAATAACACCTTAATTTTAAGATTGTTAACATATAATTCTGATGTTAAAACATTATTTTAAATGTAAAAATTCATATCTGCACTCAGAGGAAACTATATTAAAAATATTTGTAATATGCAAAAAGTTACTAAATCAGTTTCCCCTTTCACATTGCACAACATCCATCTAAAATATAAGGTGTAGATTCTTATAAATAATACATAAAAAGTCTTGGGGTTTTTTTTTTTTTTACTAAATTTCAGTTTATATTTCAATATCTTGTGTTTTTTTTTTACCAAAAATATAATAAAATATTACCAATGTTAATATAAGCCAGTCAAAAAAATCAGTTCCTTCTGATTTGGAAAGCTTAAAAATTTTAAGTAACAGGATTCTACCAACCCTAGAGCAATGTCAAGCTAATCAGCAGCAGCCACTGGTACTTAGTATTGTTCAATCAGATAATGCTGATCAAAAAATTAAATTAGGTGCCTTTTGTAAGACAAGTGCCAAACCGTTGCTATTTTACCAAAATGCAATAACTAATTTTAACAGCACCATGGTTGCTATTAGCCAGTATATAACCTCCATATTTAATGCATATTCAAAAATACAGCAATTATAGTTGTAACTCTAGTAGTGTTATTTAACTCACTTCCCTTAGAGGGCAGACATTAACAAAGATGCTATGTATCAAAAATCCTATCAACGTCTATTATTAATAAGAACCTTATGGCAAGTTTACAACCGTCTACCTCAAAAGGATACCTTCTAGAAAATTCAGAAATGTGAATTCTGATACACCCTTTACCCCCATCCCCAACCTCCAACCCCCACCTTACTGTGCCTAATGTCTGAGCTATTCGGACAAACAGGAGAAACTTTCAAGATGCGATGCTAACACATTCACTCTCTTCCTTTCCCGTTTTCTTAAAACGACACATTTGTATTTATTTCCTAGGTTTCTTACTTCCAGTCATAACAAAATAATGGTCATCGTCTTCCTTTTTCTTTGTGGTAGGTTTTTTATCTCCACTAACTGCTTCCTTACCAGATGAGGGTGGTTTCCTGGTTGAAGCCGGGGCTTTGCCACTTTTTGGAGGCCCTTTAGCTGAATAGTGGCTCTTAGTGGCAGTCTGTGCTGACTTTGGTACAGGTGGTGTCTTGACAGAAGACTGGGGAAGACTCACGAGGGACAGTGGGGTACGGCCAGGGGACTTCGAGGAGCTGGGTCCCATCTTCTGGGATGGACTTTTATTCTGGGGCTGCTTTTTGGCAACTGAACCCATATTCTTATCTTTTGATTCCTGTGCAACTTTTGTGGGTACAACTGAGGATACAGAGAGTGGCTGGTTTACATTTAAGGCTGACTTAAGTTTCTGTGCTGGCACTGCCCTGGCTTGGGGGGCTCCATCAGAGGGATGAGATCGTGTTCCTAGACTTGTGGGTATAGTTTTGGAACTGGATTTTGTCATTTTTGCAGGGGAATGGAGAGAGGGGGAAGGTTTAGGCCTTACGTGTGTATTTGCCTTAGGCGGCTTTGGACGCTTTGATGATGAATTTGAATGTGCCGCGGAGTGAGACTCTGCAGTATCCCTGGAAGGTACAGGAATGTGTTTCAAATGCTTTGGTTCAGTTTTTCCAGAAGACTTATTTGGCAAAAGTGCAGACTCAGGCACATCTCTGGGCTTCTGGGACGTAACAAGCTTGGCCTGAGGAGTACTGGGTGATGAGATACGTTTTCTCACTGACTGAGATTCACAAGGTGCGGTTCTTGATGAGGCGGGTGAAGAAGTGCTTTTACCTACTGCATTGTTTGAAGGAGCCTGTGGTTTCTTTGCGATGCCTTTTGAAGATTTGAGCTTAAGATGAGAAGACGCTGCCGGAGAATTTGGCAATTTGGAACGGACCAACACAGAGCCCAGATTCCCTCCTTTCAGGGAAGATGCAGGCGGCAACGCACCCGGTGGACGTACCTGCTTTTCTTTGCTCCTTGGAATACCAACTGGCGTGCCAGGTTTTGATTTTTGTTTCTGAAACTTGCTAACAGCTGACAAAGGATTCATTTCAGGAGGCTGAGGTGTTCTGGCGGACGAGTCAGGTACACTTTCATTGGAAACTCCTTTTTGAAAGGCTAGAATTTTTTGTTCTAATGTAGCAAACTGTAATATTCGACAGGGATCATATTTAAGCAAAAATCCTTGAAGAGTATCCCAGCCTCCACCAACACGGACCATGACATGTTTTCCATGGAGCATCTTTTCCCCCAAAAGAAAGTAAAAACAAAAACAAAAACAAAAAAACGTAAGGTTCACAGTTACAATTCATTAGCAGGCATAATTTGTGATGTATATGACCTATGAAATTCAGAGTATTTGCCAGCAGCTTCACTATAAATTGATAGCCTATTTCTTATATTATTAAAATAATCAATTTAATTCATACTGAATCATGCAACTAAATACAGGTCCTCTAATTTGTAAGAAAAACTTTTACACATAACTTGCATCCTAAAAATCCAAATTACAAATATACAAAATTGCAAGGGCAATACTGTTCAATAAAGAGGAAGAAAAGAGAGAGGAAAGAGGGAGGGAGATGAAGAGAAGGAGAAATGAGTACTTACAGAAACTATGCCTCATAATAAAGAAAAAAAATTATGGAAGGAAGATAAAAACAACTAAAATTTATACTTTACAATAAATTACTTTCATATATATTTTAGCAATTTAATCTTTCATAAACCTTGATATAATTTATGATTAATTCTTCTTTGCAGGCAAGAAAATTATGGCTCTGCGAGGTTGCGGAAATTGTCTCAAATCACACAGCTCTGGCCTGGCCTCAAACATACCAGGCTGCCCAACCCAAATGGTGCTTTTGTGCAGACAAGATGCATCCTTGGGTCGGCCAGCACAGTCCCAGCTGATTTTCAGGCCCCTATTCATTCAGCAGGCAACTCTGCACCATTGTAGGAGACTGCCCTGCAAATTTTAACTCTAAATCCCATGCTCTGTGCACCATCATTGTATCAGACTGCCTTAAAAAAAAGAAAGCTAATTAAAAAATAGAAAGTCTTGGAAATGTTTCTGTGTGAGTTGGGCGGGGTATGGGGAGGTAACAATAATATATGAAATTTAAAAATATGGATGGTGAAATATTTTTAAATACTTGTATATTATATTCCTAAATTGGGAATAAAAGAGCTCTTGTATCAGAAGTGGACAGAATACTGAACAGGTGAAACTTCAATCTCTTTACCAATAAACAGGACAGTTAATCAACTGCGGATCGCAGATGGGACAAAGGAAGGAAATGAATATGCACATCAGGATACTGGTAAACACACTGATGCTGTGTCAATGAAAAAAGATTTTATACTTAAGACCCAATCTATACATTATTATAAACTGCAATGTTTCTACCTCCTTTTCTTATTACTGATATTTAATCTTATTACATGTATTGTTTTAGTTTTTTCTTATGATGGGAAATTCCTTTTTAGAAAATTTGAGAAGTGGAATAAATTAGCTGAGGTATACAAAGATTTTTTTTCCCAACAATTATATTAAATGTCTGAATAGTCTTAGCTATCCTTGGTAGTTTATTGTGTTAAAGGTGTCTACCCAAACTCATTATATACTCATGAAAGCAAGTATTCCATATTTTTCCTGTACAGTAAAATTATTTCATTAATAACACTCCCTATTCCAATTTTTTAAAAAGTAAAAGGAAAGCAAAAGGAATTTGGTAAAACAATAAATCCAATTTCAAAATAAGACCTGTATGTAAATAGGATGTAAATGATGGACTTACTCTTATAAAGAGTATTTTATCCCCAAGTCGGTACCGTCCTTCAGATAAGTACTCAATAGAGAATCGATGGGAACAACTACAAGGAGGGTCCTCAGCAATATGTTTAACCTAAGATTAAAAATAAACAAAATTTAGTGCTTGTGACAAAAAATATTTAACATTAAAATGCAAGGTTATTTGATAGATGGGAAAATCAAATTCAAAGATAAAAATTTAAAGACACTTGAACCATTTATTATCTCTCCTTTACTTGTTGACAAATATTGAGATTAGGATTTTTTTTTAAGTAATCTCTAGACCAAACATGGGGCTTGAACTCATGACCCTGAGGATCAAGAGTCATATGCTCTACGGACTGAGCCAGCTAGCTCCCTGAAAGATACTGAGATTAGACATTAATCTAATAAAAGCTGACAGTGACAATCTTTTTTTTTTTTCCTTTTTTAAAGTAGGCTCCACACCCAATGTAGGCTCAAACTCAGAAACCTGAGATCAAGAGTTGCATGCTCTCCTGACTGAGCCTGCCAGGAGCCCCAGTGATGAAGTCTTGGGTCTCCCTCTCTCCCTCCCTACCCCACCTCTCTCCCTCTCTCTCCCTCTCTCTGCCTAAGTGCAATCAGGGTCCTAATGCACTCACTGACCGCTGGAGGTCTGTGAATGTGTACAACAGTGAAGTCAATTCAAAACACATTTATTAAGTCATAGGAAACACCTGAGTTCATTGTTAAGCTTGAATTGTTTTATGCCCTGAATTAATATATCTGTGTCAAGTCAAAGATAGGCCAGTCGGATAAAGCTTAAGTAGGAATTCACACTTGTCCCTTAACACTATGCTAAATTAACATTTGGAGGGGGATATCAAGATTGTTCCAAAGTTACTGTTAAAATAACCAGAGGCGTATTTATATCTATTCACCCAAGATTGGGTGAAATTATAAAGAATTCAATTCAAGAGGCATTTTTCTAAAAGTGCTCACTTTGTTTCGATAGTCTGCTAAGGAGATGAGAATTGAGGAGAAATCCCTACTTCTATCCCTCAAGGAGCTTACAGAATTTTTAACTGCAGTAAACATCTAAAAAATTATAAAAATGAATATAAAAAATTCAGGAATTCTATACTTAAAATATGGAAATTATAATAAACTGATCAAAAAATAAAAATATTTGTTGAGATGTTTGATTGAAAAAAAAGTTGCATATCAGTCACCATGGAAAATATTTTGTTTTCCTAAAATCACATTTTTGAAAAAGCAAGGCCATGAAATATTTTTCTCAATTATTTGTCACACAGTGTATATCTACACAAACTCATTTAATTGAACTTGGGTATGATGTTAAACCAAAGTCTCTTCAGATATGCCCAATTTAGCTAAGCACTAAGAGAAGTGCGTGATTGTCTTCATTATCTACCCAAAATGAACAGCTAAAGGTGGATTCACCAGGGCATGATCAGAAGGGTCCGGAATTTATCTCTCTACATCATTCATTTAACAAAATAATATGATCATAAATAGAACTGATTTTCATAGGCCATTCAATTAAGTTTCTCTTGTTCATAGCCTGGTATATGTGTATGTGTACACACACATTCATGCACACACATGCACCTGCATAAAATAGCTAAATATAAACTGAACGTGGGTAAAAAATTTACAATTATTGAAACCATTTACACATTAGTTAACCAAAGTACTCTGAAAGGAGGTATTTTTTTCGGTCACTACTTTCTATCCCTAAAAGTTTCAAAAGCATACAGAATTATAGCTAAAGACAGCACTCTAAATAATGAATCAGATGATAATTGTTCCTTACTTTAAACACGACTCTAAAATCTCTGTAGATCATGTATGTATAGGTGGACACTGAATGTATTCATGTAGCATATGCATATTTAAAGAAATGTGTTCTTTTTTAGTGTTCACAACAAGAATGTAAATATGAAAAGTCATTTGCTTTGTTTAAATATCCAAATACCACTTACATCCAGCAGTAAAAATTAGCATTAACCCACAATCTATCAACAAAGGAGTAGGCCTAAAAGAAATAAGAGCTATGGATAAAAAGTGTTCTCTTATGGTTTTATCTACTGCATAATTAACATTAAAACACTAAAGGGAATAGCTAAAGAAATTAAAATCATCTAAAAAGGCACTAACCTATTGATTATTTTCATTCTTTTTCTTATAGTTTATATATACATACTTTTCACAAAGTATTTTTCTTATTGCTACATAGTCTTCATAATGATCACATATAATGATTATTCTGTTAAGATAATGAATCCTAATTCATCTAGCCATTGCTCTATTTGAGAGTATTCACATTCCTTCTAATTTTCACCACTATAAATAGCACAATAAATACTTTCATTTGTTCTGCTTTTTAATCCCCCTTCAATTACAATAAAAATGAAAGAGGAACATTTTTGTGGTTCTTGATATCCATTTGTCAACTTGTTTTGCAAAAGTTTACATCATTTTCCATCACAAGTAGCAATCCCTAAGTAGACTTTTACCAGAACTTATCAGCACCAGGTTTCATAATTTTAAAAAATTTTTACTAATGACGCAAATTGTGTATCTTAATTCCTTGATTCTCAGCAAGATTCAACACTGTATTTTCCTCTTGTGTAAACAACAGTCCTTACCCATTTACTTCTGGAAATGCTTTTCTTATCAAACTGTACATAGTCTTTCCTATTCAATAAAAAATATTTTACCAATGTTTTCTTCTTTATTTAATTATCATTATTTTAGGTTCTATAAGATTTAAAATAAGTTTTATTTTTTAACCTACTGCATTATCACTGTGTCACACACTGACATTGACAGTCGTCATATAAATCAGTAATATAGGTAAAATATATTTTGGCCTGGTAAAGAATATTCAGGCTGACATTTTCTTTTTTTTTTTTTCTTTTGTTAGTCACCATTACATCATTAGTTTTTGATGTAGTGTTCCATGATTCATTGTTTGCATATAACACCCAGTGCTCCATTCAATACGTGCCCTCTTTAATACCCATCACCAGGCCAACCCATCCTCCCACTCCCTCCCCTCTAGAACCCTCAGTTTGTTTTTCAGAGTCCATTGTCTCTCATGGTTCGTCTCCCCCTCCGATTTCCCCCCCTTGATTCCTTCCCTCCTGCTATCTTCTTCTTTTTTTTTTTTTAACATATAATGTATTATTTGTTTCAGAGGTACAGATCTGTGATTCAACAGTCTTGCACACTTCACAGCGCTCACCATAGCACATACCCTCCCCAGTGTCTATCACCCAGCCACCCCATCCCTGCCACCCCCCACCACTCCAGCAACCCTCAGTTTGTTTCCTGAGATTAAGAATTCCTCATATCAGTGAGGTCATATGATACGTGTCTTTCTCTGATTGACTTATTTTGCTCAGGGTAACACCCTCCAGTTCCATCCATGTCGTTGCAAATGGCAAGACTTCATTCCTTTTGATGGCTGCATGATATTCCATTGTATATATATACCACATCTTCTTATTCCATTCATCTGTCGATGGACATCTTGGCTCTTTCCATAGTTTGGCTATTGTGGACATTGCTGCTATAAACATCGGGGTGCATGTTCCCCTTCGGATCCCTACATTTGTATCTTTGGGGTAAATACCCAGTAGTGCAATTGCTGGATTGTATGGTAGCTTTATTTTCAACTTTTTGAGGAACCTCCATACTGTTTTCCAGAGTGGCTGCACCAGCTTGCATTCCCACCAACAGTGTAGGAGGGTTCCCCTTTCTCCGCATCCCCATCAGGCTGACATTTTCTTAATCTGTCTTGCAAGGATATCCAAATCTTTTACTATAGACTTTTATTATGTTAAACAAAACAATCAAAGCAATACTTTCTAAATGTTTATCAGTAATGACTTATTTGTTATTTCTTAAATAATTTTGTATTTTAAGCACTTTCATCAAATACAACGGTCTGAAAAAGACCATAATTCTAAGCAACAGTGGAAGCAGAAAAAAATGTTTGCTACTCAGTTCACCTCCATCACTTACTAGACTATAGTCACTACAGAAGACACAGCCCACAGCTGGGGCAACTGCTAGTGACCTCTGCATAATGATGGACAGGTAAAGCTCTAAGACTTCCCAGTTGAGACCCGTCATCTAAAAGTCTGCATACATTCTGTCAGGGGTATATTCCCCAAAACCCCATCAATTTGTTCTTACAACTTTTCCTCCTCCTATATATTCCAAGTATCAGTGTACCATTTACTTAGAAACCTTAAAAATCACCCTAGGTTTTCTCCCTCCCTATCAGAATTAGGATTCTTTAATTCTACCTCCAAAATATGTCCTATCATTGTTCCTCTTGCTTCACCTTCACTACCGCTGCCCGAGTTCAGGTTCTCATCACCATAGGCCTGGATTATTACAATAAAACCAATATAACCTCTACATGACCATGAGAGTAATCCTTATAATTTGCAAATCAGATTATAACACTACTATGTTTAAAAAAAGAATCAATGAATTCTTTGGCTTCCAGTACCCTTCATGAGGGATTCCAGCCTATTTGCATCCCCACTCCTCAAATACACATCCATTCCTCATCATACACAAACAACACATCACCTTTAACATATGGTGCCCTAAATTCACCAGGGAGTGGAAGTTAGTACTGGTGTATGTTCTGAATAAGAAACATTCTCTTTTAAACACAGCATCACCTGTGGCAAACTATGAGACTCTGACACATCACAGTTGAGAGAAAATACAGCAATTACTTACAGCCTCATGCAGCTCTTCATGCTGACAGCACGATTTCGGAATGCTAATGGAATCTTCAGGCCCAGAAGTATTAAGTAAGGTCTCTTCTAGTTCAATTTCTTTCTCAAGTTTTACTAATACTGGTGGCTCAACCCCATATCTGAAAACCAGTTAGGAGATCTCATCATTTAAGAAAAGTCTGACCCATTCACTTCCCTGCATATCACAAATAGGTTATGTTTTATTTTTAAAGTGAAGTCTATTTGACTCTCTTCCACCAATTGTTTCACTGGAACATCTGGAAATGCTTTTTAATGTCCAAGAGACTGTCAAAAATTCAGGATATAATCTTCACATTGCAGCATATATTGGGATTACTGGATGCTCCAGTATTCAACCAGGGATCCTGAAAGTTAGCCACCTTTAAAGTCAGCTTCAGAGTAAAGATGGGGCTGAGTCAGGTATGGACGACACTAAGCCTCAGCCTTCTTATCAGATCCTCTTTGTGTCCAGATGATCTGTCTTGCCTTGAATTGCTAAAAGAGTTTTACATGCTTTTACCATATTCTTAGTCTAAAAAATTTAAGCAACCACTTTTACAGTTTAATACTAAATGATGGCAAGGTATATGGGTGAGCATATGTTGACACATGACACAGCTAATGCAAATAGAACAAAGTTAATAATAAAAAAAAAGAAATAAAAGATAGGAAATTAAGTTATTTTATTTTAATCAAGAATTATTTTATTTTAGAAAATAGTGTTCTATCTAAAAGTAGCTTTTAAAAGATTAATGACATTGAAATTCTGAAATAATGTGGAATACACACCTCGACACAATTCGACCAATTTCAAGAAGACAAAGATACACCTGTCTTGGATCTTTGTGCAAAACTGTGAAAAAATAAGACCACATATTTTAAAAGGCAAAATTAAATAGGGAAATACATTTCTGGCATGGAAGAAGTAAAAAAAAAAATAATAATGAAGACAGGAGGTTTACTTGTTTGGAGACTTAGAAAAGACATTTCTCTACATATTATCATCGTCCATAAATTTTTTTAAAAACTGGCTAATAAGAAGAGGATGAAAACTTAGCATGTACCCTAATTTGTAACACTTTAAGTCTAAAAAACTAAGGGCTTAGTAACATTACATTGTTTATATTTCAGGTCTCTCAACAGGAGATACTATTTGAAGAGATATATCACCTCAATTTTATTCCAAACTATCTTTAGCTTAGGACTATGTGTTAATGGCCTTCTCAAACTTTTTCAAAATCAGAAAAGGAGTACTTCCTAACTCATTCTATGAGGTCAATATTACCCTGACACCAAAGCCAGACAAATATATCACAAGAAAACTAAAGACTAATATCCTTTATGAATATAGATGTAAAAATCTTCAATGCAATACTGGCAAACTGAATCCAGCAGCAAGTGAGATATATCCCAGGAATGCAAGGTTGGTTCAATGTATGAAAATCAATCAATATAATCCACTATATTAATAGAATAAAGGAAAGGAAACACACAATTATCTCAGTAGACACAGAAAAAGCATTTGACAAAATCAAATACCCTTTTCATGATTAAAAAAAAAAAAAAAGGAAGATTCAACAAACTAGGAATGGAAGGAAACTTTATAAATCTGAAAATGGGTATCTATGAAAAACCCAGAGTTAACATCATTCTTAATGGTAAAAGACTGAGAATCTTCCTCCGAAGACTAGGGAGAAGACAAGGATGTCCACTCTTAACTCTTCTATTCAAAATTGTATGGGAGGTTCTAGACAGGGCAATTAGGCAAGAAAAACAAATAAAGGGCATCCAGATTGGAAAGGAGGAAGGAAAACTATCTCCATTTGGATGACACTGTCCTTTGCATAAAAAAACCCTAAGGAATCTACAAAAAATAGTATAAGAGCAAACTCAATTTCAGCAAAGTTGCAGGATACAAGATCAATATACAAAAATCATTTCACTTTATACAATCTGAACATGTAATTTAAAAAACAATTCAATTTACAATGCTTCAAGAAGAATAAAGTACTTAGGAACAAATTTAACCAAAGAATTTTATGACTTGCTTACTGAAAACTATAAAATATTGTTGAAAGAAATTAAGGAAGATACAAATAAATGGAAAGACATCCTGTGTTCATGGATTGGGAGACATAATATTGTTAAGATGACAAAACTCTTCAAACTGACCTACAGATTCAGTGCAATCCCTATCAAAATTCCAACAGCCTTTTTTACAGAAATGGTTAAGGTGATAAAATTCATATAGAATTGTAAAAAGACAGACTAGCAAAAACAAGAACAAAGTCGGAAGACTCGCACTTCCCAATTTCAAGACTTACAACAAAGCTACAGTAACCAAGACAGTATGTTAGTGGCACAAGGACAGACATAGAGACCAGTGGGATAGAACTGAGAGCCCAGAAATAAACCCAGACATTTGTGTTCAGTTGATTTTCAAAAAGGGTGGCAAGACAACTCAGTAAGGAAAACAGCAGTCTTTTCAACAGATGGTGTTAGAACTGGATATCTACATGCAAAAGAATAAATTTAGACCCTTACTTCACAACAAATACAAAAAAATAACTCAAAATGGATCAAAGATCTAAACATAAGAGCTAACACTATAAAACGCTTAGAAGGAAAAAGAGGTGAAAATCTGTGTGACCTTGGATTAGGCCATAGTATTTTAAATATGACACCAAAAGCACAAGCAATCAAAGAAAAGATAAATTGAACTTAATCAAAATTAAAAATTTTCATCCATCAAAGGACACTATCAAGAAAGTGAAAAGGCAACCTAAGCCCTGGATGAAAATATTTGCAAATCATATATCTGATAAAGGCCTAGTATTCAGAATAAATAAAAAACTCTTAGAAGTCAACCAAAAAAAGACCAATGACCCCCCAAAAATGAGCAAAAGATTTGAATACAGATTTCTTCAAAGAAGACACACAAGTGGCCAATAAGCCATGAAAAGATGCTCAACATCATTAATCATTAAGGAAATGCAAATCAAAACCACAATGAGCCACCACTTCACATATCCACTAGGAGAGTCATTTAAAAAAAAACAAAAAACAATAACAAGTGTTGGCGGAGATGTGAAGCTGTTCGTTGCCAGTGGGAATGTAAAATGGTGAAGCCATTGTGAAAGCAGTTTGGTAGTTCCTTAAAAAGATAAATATAGAATTACCATATGATTCAACAATTCCACTTCTAGCTATATCCCTGAGAGAATTAAAAACATATGTTCACTCAAAAACCTGTAAACAAATGTAGACAGCAGCATTATTCATATTGACCAAAAAGAAAAAACAATCAAAATGTCCATCAGATGATAATGTTTTTTAAAAATGTAGTATATCCATACATGGAATCATTCAGCTCTATAAAGGAATGAAGTACTATTGAATGCTATGACATAAATGAAACATGCTAAATGAAAAAAGCCAGACACAAAAAGTCACATATAGTATGATTCTATTTATTTAAAGTGTCCAGAATATGCAAATCCATAGATGCCTGAAGATGCCAGAAGGACTAATTGTTAATAGCTATGAGTTTTCTTTTGTGAATGATGAAAATGTTCTGGAATTAATTAGTGGTGATGGTTGCATAACACAGTGAATATACTAAAAACCACTTAAGTGTACATTTTGAAATGATGAATTTTACGTTATGTGAAGTGCATCTCAATTGTTTTTTAAAGATTTTATTTATTTATGTATTTATTTGAGAGCGTGACAGAGAGCGAGCACACATGCACAAGCAGGAGAAGGAGCAGAGGGAGAGGAATAAGCAGACTCCACACTGAGCACGGAGCCCGATGGGGGCTTGTTCCCATGACTCTGAGATCACAACCCAAACCAAAGTCGAGAGTCGGATGCTCAACTGACTGAGCCATCCAGGTACCCCAAAGTGTATCTCAATTTTCTTAAATGCTATAAATAAAACAAAACCAAATATGCTTAAAATGGTTAAGACAGGAGATTATGTTCTGTATACTCTAGCACATTAGAAAATTTTGTTTAATATTTTAAAAGGAACCCAAATACTAATCTAATCCTTCAAACAAAGATCCTTAATAAAAAACAAAGCCAGACAAACAAAAAGCCCTGATCATTAGCATTCAGCCAAAGGCGCCACTATGGTAGTTGTGGATCATCTACCTTTCTGTTCCTGTCCTTAGAGTTAAAAGCTCTAGGAAACTTCTGAACCCTAACAGAATAATGGTTTGTGTGATGAATAACATGCACATTGACTCCCCCAGTGGAAATGGCAGTTCTTTGATTCATTAATATCATCTATTACATACCCCAAGCACAAAGTATACCCTTCCAGAGCAATAAAAAGGCCTATATTTGACTTTAAAATCCATACCAAAAGGAATTTGTCCTGCAATTTTTATTAAACTTGTTTCTCTAAAAGTAGCTTTTAAGCATACTTTAAGCATAGCGTATTTGTTTTTTTTTTTAATTGCTTTGATTTCCTAGCAAAATATAAAAATTTAGAGGCTTATCTCTGAAACCTTTAGAAAGTAAAAATACTAGTTCATCAGTTAAATGCCTAGAAATGAATTACTGTTACTGGCGGTGCTTTAATATGCTGACCTTCAGGACAGTCACAAGATGGCTTCTACTAACAATGAGAAATATACAATTTTATATCCTTCCAGAAACAATAAACTGGAAACTAGAGAATTCAAAGCATTTCCTCTTTCCTTTGATCTCTACAACCTGCATATGCCATTAATCAACCTCATTGTCAATAACAATCAGCACACCTGGATTAAAGCAGGGTGCAAAATGGGAAGTAAAATAGTAACCCATTACATTTTTTTAATTGTATACCGGATAAGAATATCCAGAGGCATATCAAATGGGTAGCAGTGGGAGCAGCCTACCCTGTGTGCAGGCAACAAGGGTATGCACAGTCAGAGAATTTTATTTTATTTTGTTCTGTTTTTAGTTTATTTGCTCAGTTTATGTTTGGCATAGAACTATGAACAGATGGTTACCTAATAACCTGAATCTTTGCTTAAGGCAGTGAACTAGTTATTCCTCTTTTTTTTTAATTCAGAGAATTTTCAAACTATAATAAAACCACCTAAAAATTTGTTTGTTTTTTATTATCACCATGAACCAGCAATTCTAAACAATGTCCGTGATAAAATACTTCTCTCTACCAGGGAACCCTACTACTCCCATGATCTCCACCCACCCTTGGTATGCTACTGCTCCTATCAAAACATTAAAAATTCTATGTGTGTATGTATATACATATATAAATGCTCTAAGGAAATATATATATAGTAGTCTAAAACTTAGCTAGCTTCCACGTTAGTCACTGCACAGATGCTTCTATTGACTTAAAGTAAATGAGACAATATGTCAATAATTCTTCAGTAGAGCATGACTTTTTAAAATGAATTGTCAAAAACATGAATCGTTTAGACAATCAACTTGACAGCTGCTGTGTACAAGGTAAATCTAAATACCATTAGTATATCTCATTTGGCCTTCTGTTATTTCTATAATTATCCAGTTAAAAAGAAATTACTAGTAATTTAGGCTTTGGTAGAGTAATTCTTGATGAAAACATTAATTAGCAAAGCATTAGTCCAGAACCTTTCCTTGACCAACTCATTTAGGAAGTAAAATATTTCTAGGGCATTCTAAATATAAAAGATCGGGCGCCTGGGTGGCTCAGTTGGTTAAGCGACTGCCTTCGGCTCAGGTCATGATCCTGGAGTCCCGGGAT